CTAAAAGCTTTGAGACCAACTTCACCAGCAGTATAAGTAATGCCAGAAGACAAGGTGCCTTTCAAATAACGCAGAATGCGTTTGACAGCAGTGAAGTGAGACACCATAGGGTTTTGCAGAAATTGAGATACTTGATGGACTGAGAATGCAATGTCAGGACGAGTGAAAGTGAGGTACTGCAGGGCACCAACGATACTCCTGTATGTACCAGGTTCTGAAAATGGAACTCCATCATCCTTCAGTAAACGATTATAAGGTAAGCATGGAGTGTCACAAGGTTTGCAATCACGCATTTCAGTCTTGTGTAACAAGTCTTGAATGTACTTGGTTTGTGATAAAAAACATCCCAGTTGCTGTGCAGGATATTTGAATGCCCAAAAAATAATGAAGTGTGCCCAAATCCTTGATGTCAAACTCAGTAGTAAGGGACTGGATGACATGTTGTATAGCAGCTGTAGCATTCCCTGTTAAGATAATGTCATCCACGTAAAGCAGTAGAATCACTATCTCAGAACCAACATGCTTCACAAATAGAGACGAATCAGAATAGGTGGAGATGAACCCGAGAGAAGGAAGAAAAGCTGTGAATCTCTCATTCCATGCCCGGGGGGCTTGCTTCAATCCATACAGAGATTTATGTAACTTGCAAACAAAATGAGGATGCACAGGGTCTGCAAAACCAGGAGGTTGTGCCATGTAAACCTCCTCCTGCAGTATGCCATGCAAAAATGCATTCTTGACATCAAGTTGCCGTAGAGACCAATGAAACTGAGCAGCTAAGGCCAGGACAAGCCTTACTGTGGTAGGCTTAACCACTGGACTGAATGTCTCCCCATAGTCTAATCCTTCCTCTTGACTGAAGCCCTTTGCAACTAAGCGAGCTTTATGTCTTGCAATAGAACCATCCGAGTTCTTCTTTATTTTAAAGATCCATTTACAGCCGACTAAGTTTTTCTGAGAGGGCAGAGATACAAGAGACCAAGTACCTTGAGAGTGCAGGGCAGCAATCTCTTCCTTCATAGCAGCCAACCACACAGAGGATTTCATAGCAGTCTTATAAGAAACTGGCTCAATGAGAGACATATCAACATCTCCAGATGGCGCTAAAGAACTGAAAAACACTTTGGGTTTGACTATACCATTTTTACTCCTGGTCTGCATAGGATGCATATTCAATGGTGCAATAGGTAACACCACTTGTAACCGATCGGGGCTGAACTCATGATCCACAGGGAGAGAAGGAGTAGTACTTGATGGAGCAGTAATGGAGGAATAAGAAGGTAAGGAGGAGAATGGAGGTGAAGCAACCATATGTGGAGAATGAACAGCAACACTAGAGTCAGGGGATGGAGGGACAGGTGGAGAGGTTGAGGAAGAAACCGGAGGAAGAGGCACCACCAAAACATTCTGATGGTTAGGAACAGGTGTAAAAGATGAAGGTGAATAAGGGACATGGGCCACACTATTTTGTTTGGACAATTGAAGAAGACTAAGATAAGGATATTCAGTCTCATTAAAGATAACATGTCTGGAGATAAAGAACTTGGCTTTGGACACCTCATAACAAATATAACCCTTATATTGGGAAGCATACCCCAGAAAAACACACTTGGTGGTCTTAGCTTGAAGTTTGGAAGTGTTGTAGGGTCTAAGTAAAGGATAACAAGAACAACCAAAGACACGGAGGTGAGTAATGACAGGATTTTGACCATACAAAACTTGAAAAGGAGATTGATTCTGTAAAACTGGAGTTGGCATCCTATTGATTAAGTAAATTGTTGTTTGACAAGCAAAGGTCCAGAATTGAGAAGGCAGTGTGGCATGTTGTAACAAAGTGACAGTAGTTTCAATGATATGCCTATGTTTCCTCTCAGCTAATCCATTCTGTTCAGGTGTATAGGGACAAGATTTATGATGTACAATACCTTTAGATTTCAGAAAAGTGTAGAGCTTAGTACTAATATATTCACCCCCCCCATCAGTTTGTAGTATTTTCACAGAAGTAGAGAATTGAGTGGAGACAAATGCACAAAAGGTAACAAAAACATCAGTGAAATCAGATTTATTGGATAAGGGAAACAACCAACAAAACCGAGTGCACTCATCAATGAGAGTAACATAGTATTTATAGCCATCAATGGATGTACATGGTGCAGGACCCCAAAGGTCACTGTGAACAATTTGAAATGGTATGACAGACTTGACATGAGTGGAAGGAAATGGTAACTGTGTGAATTTGCCCTTGAGACAACTTTGACACATATGAGAGACAACATCCTGATTACATGGAATATTTGCTTGTTTAAGAAGTAAAGAAACTACATTATTGGATGGATGTCCGAACCTAGTATGCCATAGGCTGGAACCAACAAGATGTCCAAGAAAAAGCAACATGTGAAGAATGAGAAGGTAGGAAACTAGTAGAGAGTGAGTGGATAGGATAGAGTCCATTACTGCACGGGCCCTTGTACATGATTCTCCCTGTGACCTTGTCCTGAATCCAGAAGTAAAATGCATCAAAGATTAGCCAGCAATTGTTGTCCAAACACAACTTATGAACTGACAATAAATTCTGTGTCAATTTAGGAACATAGAGAATGGAATTTAATGTGATAGGATTTTTAGAAGTGTTAAGAATAGAACTGCCAATGTGAGAAACTCGCAAACCTTCACCATTGGCAGTTTGAACAACTTCATTGCTTGGATATGGAGAAGCTAAGGACAAATTGTTAAGATCAGCTGTCATATGTGTAGTAGCACCAGAATCTGTCAACCAGACTTGTGGTGATTGAGAAGGAGATGCCACAGAGCCCATATGAGAAGATGGTGATGTGGGAGAAAATACAGTATTCATAGCTTGCAGGGAAGAGGGGTGAGAGCCATGCAACACCGGAGGCACATTGTAAGAGTAAGAGTATCCCTGCATTGGAGTACCTGCCCGTTGAGAATACTGAGGTCCCATATAGGAAGGCCCTTTTTCATTGTAAAAACAATACCAAGTTGTATGATTGAACTTGCCACAGATTTGACACTGTTGGCGATCAGAAGACTTATTGTAACAATAAGGAGCAGTGTGACCTTCAGCATTACACAATTGACAAGTCGGCAATAGAGGTGCGGAGGGCGACGAACCAAGAACACCAGGAGTAGGTGTAGGGAAGACATGGGTTTGTGTATGATACATTGGCCGAGGAGTGTAGTATCGCTGACCTCCATTGAACTTGCCCTTCCCTTTGTTTCTTGTGAACATACGGCTTGAAACCTCCTGAAACACCATAGGATTGACCCCCAGTATGATGAAAGGAATGACCACCGCCAGAGTTAAATGCCTGATTAGAACCTTTGTGCACAGTGGATGAGTTATTATTGACAACCATCGCAGACAGAAAAGGAACATGAGAATGACTATCAACAATTTCTTTCTTCAGCAAGGAGTTGAGTCCGAAACTCTTTCATAGTCATAACACTTTCTCGGCCTCGAACAACCGTGCGGAATGTATTATACTCTGGAGGCAAACCATTAAGAGCCAAAATTATAATGTCTTCATCATCAAGAAACACACTAGCAGCAGACAAATAATCCCTTGCTTCTTTGATCTTCTGTAAATACCGAGTGACCGAATCGGACCCCTTTTTAATGGTTTGAAGATTTGACTTCATCTGAAAAATACTTGTCTTGGAAACAGTAGAAAACTGTTCCTTAAGCCGAGTCCACAACTCCCTAGAACTAGCACTACCAATTGCACATGACATAGCTACTGGGGACAAGGTGGCAGTAACAAGCTGCATAAGTGCCCGATCATGTAATTTCCAAACAGTATATTCATCTGTTTCTAAACCAGAGGAGGAAGTAGCAGAATTAACTCCAGAATCACCAGAATTAGGAGCAAACCGAGCAGGACAGGGTGTTGAACCATCAACAAACCCCATGATTCCATTACTTTCCAGTAACAATTGCATTTGGAAATGCCAATTAAGATAATTCGAATCATCAAGCTTAACATTGATAGATGTTGAAAGAGTAGAAATGAGAGCAGTAATAGGCGACTGAAGGAGTTGTAATTGAGATGCAGACACCATTTATGCAGAAAGAAGATAGAAATCCAAGAGAGGAAATATCACAAACACCTGGTGTGCACACTCTGGAAACACCAATGCAAGAAGAACAAGAAACACCAAGAACCTTAGAAATCACAGAAGGAGAAGAAGAATACCAGAAGGCGTCCAAGCATACAGAAATGAAGCGACGTCAAGGACGAGAAAGAATCACAGAGTGAGAAGATGAGCGGAAGCAGCCGAAGGATCGAAGAAAACAGCAAGAGCGAAAATGGCGATTGATACCATGTAAACTAAGAAGAAGAGAATCACAGATAGTAGTCTTAGAGAGAAGTCAGAGAAAGAGATTTATAGAGAGAGAAAGATATTTCTATTTCTTTTCTTAATCACCAAGCTATTACACTATAAGAGTATATATACTACACCCTACTTACATTTGCATATTCTTAACAACTATAACTAACTCTCTTAATCTGTTTACAAGTGTCACAATCCTATGTGTACATTATCTCTAACAATATATACGTCCTCTACATCACTACGAAGAAAAATAAAATTGAAGTAATAAAAAAATGAATCAACATAATTCAGGAAAACAACTATTTGCGAATCAGCGTGCTCATGCCAATCATGCAATATAAAAGCGTCTCTGTGGATTTATCTATCAAATTAATCTAAAGTAATGTTAAACTTATTATCTATATGTACTATCACTTATACCATCTCTTTAATAGAGGTAGGACCTGCTAACACATGCGGATCTCATCTTTATTAGAGAGATTATACAAAACTAAATGGTAGAAAAGCATTTTTTATTAATCTAATTAATGGTTTAGTTAGTCTACATGGCCACGTAATTATGTTTAGAATACACACGTCATATTTACTTCATTATAGTGGATTGGTGAGTAATAATATGGAGTTGGAGCTGGAACTGGAGTTGTCATTTTTTTATCTTCTTGTTTCCACTCTACGGTACCAAAACAATTTGCAAATATACAAAGCTCTCCGCCTAAAACATGCACAAACCATTTGCAATCTAGCTAGCTAGCTCTATATATACAGACGCAAAGGAGAACAACCAAATGAAAAGCTACGTGCAAGCTTAATTTCAGCAGCCTCGAGCCAAAACATGGCAAAGAAACTTGCAAAAATACTCCTACTCCTAGCCATCTTGTTACTTGAACAAGCCGGCCCCGGCCAAAGTCGATCGATTACCAATGATGACGTCCCTTTGAGTATGGTCACTGATGGAGGAAACCAATTACTTCTCCAAAACCAAAATGTTTGGAAACCGTTTTTCTCTGGGCTGATGGACTCTTTGTTCTCATCAGATAGCAGCTGTGAACAGACATATGGGTTCTTGCCATGCACGTCAACAGTTCTGGGAAATATCTTCCTCGTTCTTGTGTATGGATATATGATGTTCCTTTCAGCCAAGCTCTTATCTAATGGAAGTGAGATTCTGCTGCAGATCTTAGGGCCTGGCATCGTCGGCGGTCTATTTCTTCCTCTTTTAGGCTCTCTACCTGATGCCACCATTATTCTAGGTAAGCTAGTTTCATTTCATCATCAATCTTAGCTTAGACTAACAAGCTCAAATTTAGTCTTCCAAGTTATTTATATAACGCTATAAAAAATCGACAATAGGTAGTCTTGTAATTAAGTTACGTTATGCTATCTGCAAGCATGAAATTACATGCTTAATTTACGCATTGAATTAACATATTATTAATTTTATTAGATAATAAGATTATGAATTTTTATATGCCAAATGGTCGCAATCAAATAAAGGTATTGCAAAGTTTTATATCTCTAATATTAGTACATGCCTCTCCTCACTTAGTATTACCGTCTACTAGTATTCCTTCATTGGTAATTATAATAAGTGATCTTAGGTTCAATTCTCGCCAAAAACAAAGTTGAACCACATTATATTGCTAGCCTATTGTGAGGCTTAACCCACTCTCCACACCCTTAGTGTAGATGATATCGTTTGTTCAAAAAATAAGAAAAAGTACATGCCTCTTAAGTGATGGATTGCTCCAATGGTTAAGATCTTTTAGATCTTTCAGATCTTTCTCTACAGCCCATTATATCTTGGGCTCAAACCCTTTTCTCTTGTAGTGTAAATTAGTATAGAATATTCTCTGCATGCCCCGATATGCTTTCCGTTGCGACTTAATAATCCACAAAATTATGTAATTGTCTAGAGTATTACTCCACATTAGTCTTTGCCATATACCTACGCGACAGTTGCTATCTTTTATTTTATTTTTATTTATTTTAAATATATTTTGAAAAATAATGAACTTACTAACCACCCTTTCTCTCTTTTTATATAAAATTAAGAAATGGATTAAGGTTTGCATAATAATAGACTTATTTTGGAATACCCTCAATTGCATTAATCAATATGCTGATATTAAGGATGGATTCTACGCTCAGTATAACGTGCTAAACAAGTAAGGCACTGACTTTTGTTCACGTCTAGGATTATTGCATTAGCAGTACAATCAAATGACGCATGACAAAAGAAAGAGAAAAACAAGGTCAAATAACGCAACTTTCTTGTTCATTCGCTTAAAATTGTTCATTTTAAGTAGCCATTGAACAAATTTTTTCTTTGGGATGTGCTATCCACACATCCTTTTTTACTTCTCCCACACTTCTTGTTAATTTCTGTTATTTGATCTTTTTTAATTCATTCGATCCGACGACCGAAAATTAAAAATGTGTGAGAGAAGTAAAAAAGGGTGTGTGGATATCACATTCCTTTTATTTTTTGTAAGCAATTACGTGACGTGCATGTGATGGTGGAGTAGTTATTAGTCTAAAATCATGATTTCGCCACCTTGAAAAAGTTGGTAAACTTGTAATTCAAGAGAACAAAACATATGGGTTTAGTGACTATAAGAAAGTCTCGTCAATATAAAATATTTATTTATTTTTGGGTGAACACGTTGAATAAACTGTTTAAATTCACATTTACAATACATTTTTTTTTGGGTTTCTGTTCATGCATTTTTTATTCGAAACTTCACTCTTGTAAATGAACGTAGTAGTTTTGAATCTCTCCCTCCTTTTAATAACAATATTAATTTTTTTGTTTTGAGCATGTATCACCTACCCTAATTTAGCGGAACTTAGATAAAACTCATCCATATACTATATTTTGTATATATACGATCGCATACGATGTGTACAATTATATATAAATCACAATCAATGAAGCATAAGATGCATAATTATGTTACCGGATTGTGTGCCAATAATATTATTCAAGCTAATCTTACACGAACGCGTGGTCTATATATCTTTACAATTTGGGACGTTGTCATCTGCTCAATTAATAAGATATGTGTAGCAACAAGGGCTTGTAGCTCAATTACTTAAAAAAATTCAACTAAGTAACCAATATTTTGTTCAGCCATCCTCCCCTGGTATTGCAAATATTACAGAGAAACATAAATATGACAAGAGAACATTATATCAGATCATGTACAGTTGTGAAGCTAGGATATGCTGGTTTGGCGGGCCAAAACTAAGAAATTTCGTTAGAAGACCTCTATGTGGACCTCTTAGATATGTGCGCTTACATGTAAACAATGGTGGAGTTGGAAAGTCACTTTGAGACTTGGAAATACCACTTCACTCTTTCTATTGGGCTGCCTTTTTACCTAAATGCAAATAGTCGTGTTGATCTTATAAAAAATAGTAGAAGAAATTTCAGTTTATGTGTTATTTATTTTACTACTGTACTATGGATTATGGAGTAAACAAGTGAATGTTCTTCTTGTGGAGTTTCTTAACAGCATCTGGACTTTCTGGAGACACAGAAACGGCTCAAAGTCAGGTCTCAGTTGGAATGGGGTTGATGGCTGGATCAAATGTCATGCTTCTGACAATTCTATGGGGCACCTGTCTCATCGTTGGCAAATGTGACATTGAAAATTCAATTGCAGTTGATCAAAAAGATGAAAAACGATTTAGCTTAACTGGTACTTCTCTACGCACTTCTGCTAAATGTGTGCAATTCAAATGTTTGTAGATGTTGATTAACTTGAACATATTAAAGAGGTAAAAAATTAGAATAAGAAGAAAATGAGGTATCTTTATTTGCAGTATAGGCATTCACAGTAAATAAAGTCGAAAGGTTTCTAGAATTAATTAGTAAGAGTTAAAATGAATTAGTAGTTATGTTGCTTAAGCAGCACTACTTGAATACATCTAATGTACAGACAATTGCTTATGTAATTATATATAGTTTTGCATTTATATAGATTTTTAATTTTCTTCCTATTTTAATGTTTTAAAAGAAGAATGCTGGTGTAAATTATGTATGCTTCGTAACATGATGATATACTGTTTTTCATCAGGATCTGGAGTGAGCACAGATATTTGGACAAGCTATTCTGCACGGATCATGATTATCTCTTTGATCCCGTTTGTGATTGTCCAGTTACCCCAAGTTTTCCACGCAACTTCAGATAGTCGCGTAGCAATTCTGATTTCACTCGCTGTCTCCATCTCTTTCGTGATCGCATATAGCTTTTATCAGGTAGCTAAGAGGATTTTGTTTGTAAAAGGATACTTACTATCCATCCGTTACACAAATATCGTATTCGTCTGATTCATACACCATCTCATGATCATCTTCGCTAAAATTCGGCACTAATTGGTCAGTCCACTATTGATGCAGGTATTTCAACCATGGATTCAGAAGAGAAAACTTGCATATTCAAAGCATAAGCATGTGATGTCAGAAATTCTAAAACAATTGAAGACAAATGCTCTCGGAAGACTTCTTACAAATGATGGTGACCCTAACAAAGTTATTATACAAAAGTCAGTGTTCATTAAACTCTAATATATAAAGAATAAAACGGTTTAGTCGCCTAGCTCATGCCTTGACTAGTTTGTTGATGTAATAACAGGTTATTCAAGACACTTGATCAGGATTCGGATGGTTACCTAAATACCTCAGACTTAAGATCTCTGATAATTGGAATCCAGTTTGACGATATAGACATAAATATAGATGAAGCCATTATACAAGTGATGAGAGATTTTGATACATCTCATGACTCAAAGATTGACGAGGACGAATTTTTCAGAGGAATCTCAAGATGGCTTAACAAGGCTAAGCGTGAGGCAATAAAGGACCGTGGAAAGATTCCACGGTCGATGAAACTTTTAGAGGAATATGATCAGGTAAGTCGTTGAATCCATTTAATTTTCTACGGATTAATTGTCTGACACTAGTATGATAAAATGTATGAATGCATATACGCAGAAAACAAAGAAGGAATATGATCAGTTTGGGGATCAAATTGATGAGGTTGTTGAGGATGTAAAAAATGCTAAGTGGCATGCCTCCAAAGCAGTAGTGTTGTTGTTTCTGGGAACTATAGTCGCTGCTGCAGTTGCTGATCCCCTTGTTGATGCTGTTGACAGCTTCTCAACAGCTACGAGTATCCCTTCGTTCTTCATCTCATTTGTTGTTCTACCTTTTGCTAGCTCCAGTGAGATAGTAACCACTCTAATTTTTATCAGCCGGAAAAAGCAAAGAACTGCATCTTTGGCATACTCTGAGGTTTGTTAATCGACATCTCTTTCGTGTATGTTAGGTAGATAGAATCACTAAAAATTAAAAAAACCATGAAAGCGGGAATATGATACTCAGTGACTCATTCGCAGTTTTGAGGAAGTTCAGGGTTTCAAACTATGATGTGTCCTAATCTATGAGTACTTTGTTGTGCAGATATACGGGTCAGTGACAATGAGTAACATACTTTCTCTAGCAGTATTCTTGGGTCTGGTTTACGTTCGAAACTTGACATGGAGCTTCTCAGCTGAAGTTCTCGTCATTTTAATTGTTTGCATTCTGATGGGAGCGATTGCCAGTTTCCGCACCACCTTCCCTCTTTGGATGAGTTCTGTGGCTATACTGCTTTATCCACTTTCTCTGTTGTTGGTTTATATTCTTGATTACATATGTGGGTGGTCTTAGGTTCATTCTACATCAGTTTCAATCTGATTGCGAACATAATTTGAAGTTGGAGTTATTTACTTCTTAATTTGTATCATATATATATATATATAAATATTGTGCACACTTTGTATCTTCCAAGAAATCCTCTTTCTATCAGTACTTGAGAAACTATCTTTGTCTCATTGTTCTTTCATTTCTCTGTGAATCCTCATCCAAATGCTCAAAGTTTTCTGAATTACATTGTTTTCTCTTTTATTCCATTTGTGGTAACCAAAATTCAAAGGCCTTAGAGGTGACGCCACATGTAAGTAACATGGTTGCTGAAACTACCCTTAGGGTTTTGCGACGTTTAATTCTCGCGTGGGTTGAGGATAAATGCAAAAGGGAATGTCTCCCCGTAAATCACATGCACCACGTCACACATGATGAATTACCTAAAACATGCACCAGACCATCCCATTCAGCAAAATTGGTGGGCTTTGGCGGGTCGAATGAAACCCCAGGAGGATTTCATTAGTTCACAAACGTGATCAGCCTAAAAGGGCCTGATAAGGCAAGATCCAGTATGATCTTCAAGAGATAAAGATCCCTATAATCATGGTCCAGACAGGTCATGTTCACCAATACTATTAACAATCATCGCTAAATGGGACTCCTAATTAGTGCCCCTTATCATGTCTTCTATAGTAAAACGTTGTTGGAAAAATGGGCGGGATAATGTGGGTTCAAACTTCAAACCAACCACTTAAGGACTGCCATATGTACCCTAAAAGCACATGCCTATCTCTATGTAAAGGTATGCTTAAACACAATGGAAGTAAATGTTCTTAGCCAAGAAACTCATAGCTTGAGATTCATTTTCCTATATTTAACTAAGGCATCAGAGAGCCTTTGACTCACACCACACAGGTGTGACAAGGTCTCACTGACATTTTCTTTCTTGGTTGCAGAATGTGAAAACATAAAATTTGATTTACATTAATTGATGCTTTGACTTTGGTTGCGAAAAAAATGTAAAAATAAAAAGGTTGGGAAAGTATTAATACGTATACGTATACTGTTTCATATGTTGATTCTAATTCTCTTCTTTAGTATATTTTGGGTTGATCTTGTGATGAAAATTATAACATATTCAATATTTTGCCATATTACATTTTGAAGGCTGCTCATATTTGTGTTGACGTGAGATATATTTTAGATAAATTTCTTTCTTTATGGACACACTAATGTGGGGGGCTTATTCAATTACGGTGTTGTTGCGAATTATTATGAGTATGTGCCATGGAAAAGTTTTTGTTATGCCCGATCCTAAGATATATTTAGGATCGACACATATATTTAGGATACACATGACAACATAACGGTAAAAGAAATACAATGAGTTAACTGAAGCTTAGACATATATAATACATTAGATATTCAACAACAACAAACAATAATAAACTATACTTCGCAAGCGAATTAGAAACCAGTTGATCCCAAAGTCATTCAGTTGTATCATTTATATCCACAATAGACGTAACAAGCTATTGTGGATGCAAATTTCTTCCTCCTTGATCTTGGACAAAATTGCACCTACAAAACAATTGGTTAAGGCCAAAAGCGTCACGCACCAACGATGAATGGGGAGGGCTTTGGCTGAAGAACCTCCAATGCTAAAGTTAGAATTTAGAGAGAAAAGTGTTTAGAGAGTTTTTGGAGTTTTGCAAGAGTGTGGACTTAGGTTTTTAGAGAAAATGGGGTTCAATATATAAAGCATGGCCGGTCCCCTTTTTGAGAAAAACTGGTCGGCCCTTTGGGGTATTTTTGTGTGAAATGGGTGATTTAATTGGTAATTAATGGATTAATTAGGAATAAATCCATTAATTAGCCAATTAACAATTTATATGGAATGTTTTGAAGGTTACGAAATAATTACCTTGTGGAAAATATAGGATAAGGATGGATGAAATAACTTCGTGGATTGTAACGTTGGCAGGCAGTAATGGTGCATGGTAGGCCAGCAGTAGCCTGCGTTAAGAGCATTATGTGCTAAGGATCGACCTCCGGAGTGATTTCCACAAACGCTTTCATGGATTAAACTTAGAACCTTCAAGTCATTGGGAAGCGCTAGGCAGCGGAGATGCGGTCTGGTGTAAGATTTTCGGATGAGAATGCCGTTCCACATGTAGTAACGTGCTGCCTTGATTTGGAGCTTCCTAGACTCCAATCTTTTTATGGGGAATGTGCCATTGACCAGGTAGTCTATAATAGAATCTTGTCCGTTTGGAGTTGTACTAACTTGTGACACCTCGGCTACTGGCTTCGCCTCTATGCTTGGCTCGTTTAGATACTCCATCGGAATAGAGCATTTGAGTTGGTGGTCGATGGCGGAGCCTAGGCCGATTAGTGTGTCCACGTGGGCATTGTTTGTCGATGGAACTTAAGTGAGGGTGTAAGTCTGAAATGCCTAAAGCAGTCTGGCTAGTGATTAGTTGGGAATCAGAATGAATTGCGAGCTTTTTAATTGCCATGTTTTTTGCCATTTGGAGGCCTGCTAGTAGTGTCTCGTATTCTACTTCGTTGTTGGATGTTTTGAAGTCTAGAGTGATCGCCTGCTCAGGCATCGAATCGTCTGGGTGACAAGGACTACGCCTGTTTTTGAACCTTTATAGTTGGATGTGCCATGGATATGCAAATGCCAGAAGTCTCCATCGGGTGGAGCAGGTGCCGCTAGGGCGTGCTCGGCTACCTCTCGGGCGTCGTTGGGCCACTTTGTTGTGTCGTGAATGTGTGGCAGAGTGCCGTGGAGCTGGGACCATGTTACACGTAGCAGGAAATGCTCAACTGCCGGTATTGGACCACTTTAGAGTTGAATTATGGAGCAAGGGTTGGTAGGGACCGTGTGACACGTAACAGGAAGTGGTACTCAACTGCAGGTACATGTTGCTCCTATGTAGAATCTTTTGGGGCGACGAGGATGAAACTTTCTTCCGAGTGTGTTATTCTAGTGTTCGTCTACCCTTGGCGTGTCTTTTGGGCTGAGTTGTTGCGTTCGTCAGAAAACTTTGCATTCCCCAATGTCTTATGCCTTTATTGTCGCGTGTCTGGATTGGGCGGAATAGTGCGTCATGAAGATAACTGCATGCGTTTGAAGGTAAAACTTGAGTTTCAGGGTTGCAACAACTATTGCCAAAGTTAGCTTTTGAATTTCTAATAGCATCGAGGAGAGATTTTGAACTGTGGAATACGGGCAGGCCCCTTGCTCTTCTCACATGATGGTAGAGCTTATTGCTGCTTTAGATACTGTCAAACATGCGAATAAGTCTTCTGCTGCTTCTGGTTTGGATAGTAGGAAGGTGATGTCAGGTACTTCTTTAAGTCATTGATGTGCATCGGCAAGCCTCGTACCAAAGTGCATACTTCTCTGCTAGAGTGAAAGAGTCTGCCAGAGTTAGATTTTCTTTCATGATCAATTTTCCAAATAACGGGTGGTCTGCTGGAAGTCCTTTTTGGAAAGCTGCTCTAGCTATCAAGTCGTTGCATCTGACTATCATTGCCTTATCTGCTTTGAACTTCTTCACATAGTCGTGAAGAGACTCTTTTGGGATCTTCTTGACATTGAACAAATGGTCAAACTTCTTTTTGATCAAGCGATATGATGAATATTCTTTGGTGAAAACCAAAGAAAGTTCATCAAAACTCTGGATAGATTGTAGCGGCAGGGTGTAGAACCAATCTTGCACCTCGTCTTGTAGAGTGGTGGCGAATATCTTGCACATAAGATCGTCGTTGTTTCGATAGAGGATCATTGCGCTTCGGTAGTGCTTTAAGTGTCTCTCTGGGACTTCATCCCCTTTGAAATATGTGAAATATGCCATGCTGAACCCACGTGGAGGCTCTGCTTACTCGATCTTATCCGTGAAGGGTGACATGTTTATGTTGGTCATGTTCCATTGTAGTGCCTTGTCGGTGACCTCGTTGCGTTGGAAATTACGTAATCGTTTGGTCAAGAGTCTCTTTACTTTTCCTGAATTTGCCTTTGTTGGGATAGTGGAGCTCTCGGCTACCTCCAGCCATGACTTGCTGGTCTAGGTTGTTCTTCTATATGTTTGCTCGTCTATGCCGTGGATGCGATATGTGTGGTGCGTTCCTAGCAGGCGAACGAGTTCTTCACAGACTGCTGGTTGAACTTGAGCTGGATTGAATGACTGCTTCTCTCCGTCCGTCGTGCTGCCTACTCCGATGTGAGGTGGATGATGCTCCTTGTGGGCTTAGCCACGGATGAACACTTAGCCTGGAAGGTTGCTCATGTTGACTATTATAGTGTGAGCCCAACCTTGAATGTATGCTAGTCCATGAATGTATCTTAGGGGCCCAATCGGGAGTGTACACTGCCCGAACGCTTGGTTTGTGGCTGCTTATCGGGATGTTGTTGGAGAGGTTCTTTGTCTGCCATTGTCCTACTTCGGGACACCTCGTCTGGGCCACGTTGCATCTCGGTGCGTTGCAAGAGCTAGTTCACTAAGGTCGCCTGCTGTGCGAGGGGGCTCGTTAACTCTATGACTTATTGAGATAAGTGTTGTTCTCCATTTGGGTTGGAATAGCTTGGAATGAATGCGTCTCTTTGAGCAGTTGAAGTGTGGTAGACTCCGGACACAAGATTTGAGTTGGGAAATGTCAAATCCGTAGAAAAATACGATGAAAATGCTCCTGGTTCGATCGTCAGTCCGAAAATTTGAAGCCGGGACAGTTGAACTAATCTTGGATCCATTTGGGCTACTTGGAAGGCCACATGAGCAAACTGGGCTGCGAGAGTGGGCTGCTCGGCAAGAGTAGGCTGGGCCATGAGAGTGGGTTGCTCAACGGTAGCAAACTGGGCCACGAGATTGAGCTGCTCAGCTGAAGTAGGCTAGGCCATGGGAGTGGGCTGCTCGCGTGTGGCGCACGTGGATGCAAGGCTAGGGCTCAGCTTAGCAACGCGTTGGGCTCGCATTGGGCTTAGAGTGACATGGCTTGGGTCATGGCTTTGGTGCCGTGGGCCTTGGATGACAAGGCTTGGGCCGTGGTGGTGACACCATGAACCTTTCCGCGGGTGGCCACTGCGATGGTTCCCGTGGTGGTGGTGCCGCTCTATTTATTGTCACATTTAGCCTCTTGGATCGCTGCGGTCCCATCTCTTGAATATTGAAATTTTCACTTTTTGAATTTTCTAAATTTCTAGCCATTGTACTTCTCTTTTATGTTTTATCAAAGAATTTTTGCAAATAAAAAATTCTAATAATAAAAACGTACAAAAAATCTACAAATGGACAAGAAATAGAAAAAACTTAGATGTGAGAGTCTTCTACGAGTGTGGGACTCAACTCTTAATAAAAGCATCAATTTGTGGATGCAAATTTCTTCCTCCTTGATCTTGGACAAAAGTACACACACACGATGAATGGGGGGGCTTTGGCCGAAGAACCTTCGATGCCAAAGTTAGAATTTAAAGAGAAAAGTGTTTAGAGAGTTTTTGAAGTTTTGCAAGAGTGTGGACTTAGGTTTTTAGAGAAAATGGGGTTCAATATATTAAGCATGGATGGTCCCCTTTTTGAGAAAAGGTGGCCGGCCCTTTGGCGTATTTTTGTGTGAAATGGGTGATTTAATTGGTATATAATGGATTAATAAGAAATAAATCCATTAATTAGCCAATAACACAATTTATATGTAATATTTTGAAGGTTATGAAATAATTACCTTGTGGAAAATATAGGATGAGGATAGATGAAATAACTTTGAATTTGTTACCTATTTGGGCACCTTTGACTTGATTGAGGGATGATTATCCACTGCTAGCGCGTAGGAATCCCAATGTGCCTTGAGGGTAATTTTGTCATTTTAACCCAAAAATCCATGTGTCGCCTCTTGATTATTTATGGCTTCACAGTTGCGATCCTCAGTTGAGGTCAAGGCCTACAACTCGAGATTTTTTAGTGTGATCGGAATATGGGGTGGTACACCACGTGTCACTATATAAATGGTGAGATATGTGTTCTAAAGTTAATAATTTTAAAAATAAAATTTCCAACCACTTGTATAAAAACACGTGGTGTATCACCCATTTCCGGTCATAATGAAAAATTTCTCCTACAACTTATCGTTGGAAACAATTTAAGAAAACTTGGATTTTTGATCCAACGACATGCATGTAAATAAAAAAAATAAAAAAAAAGCAAAAACAGATCTTTAAAGACTAATTCTTTTGACGAGTCAAAACAAAATGAGAGGGATGATGAAAGGGATTGGCCTCTACCTTCTGAAGCACTACTATGCTTTCGCAAATTTGTTCATCCCTTGGTGAAGGGGCTTCAGATCTCCTTTAGGATGCCTCTTGGATGTGGGAACAAGAGGAAGAGTGAAAAAAGCTAGCTAGCCCACTCTTCCTTTAATAGGAGAAACATGTTTTGTGGTATATGAGGTGATGAATATTTCACTCTCATTTTCATGCTCAATGGAGCTTGAATTTCTCTTTAGAAAACACTTTTCTTTTCTCCTCAGTTGCTTGCTTTTCTTAAAAGCCTACAACCATTACTCAATTGCTAAATCGAATAGTGTTATATAGAGTTTGAGTAAATACATAGACTCTACTATTTTACAATTTTAACCTCAATTTTCGTGTTAACATTACAAAATATTGTACGAAATACATGAGAGAAATGATAAGGAGACTCTAAAAAAAATGGGGTTCTCCATGAACTCTCTAGCACCTCACAGTGTAATGTCAATTTCCATGCCAACATTATAAAACATTGAGCAAAAAACATGAGGTAGCAGAGAATCCATGAAGAGTTCCCTCAGCATTTCTCAAAAATTGAATTGGCAGAAAGTCCATAGAGAGTTCCACTTTTGAGAGAGTCTCTTTAGCATTTGTTGAGAATTAATCCATATTGATGAGAGGATAGACATCGCACGGGCTTATAAGTAAGCTGGGCTATTTCCCATATTGCTAATTGATTTTATGGTGGAACTTAAACTTTTTTCATGGTATCAGAGCAGATTTGTCTCACGTGTGAAGCCAAACGGCCACACGTTCTCCAAGTCACCTCGTTGTGTTGTTCACGTGTTAGGTTTGGAAATTCGCCACACGTGAAGGGGTGTGTTGAGAATGAATCCCACAGTGATGAGATGAGAGATTTTGCATGGGCTTATAAGTAAGCTGGGCTACTTCTCATATTGTCAATGGGTTTTATAGATAAACATCAATTTTTTTCATGATATCAGAGCAGGTTGTCCCACGTGCGAAGCGAAATGGCCACAAGTGCTCCACGTCGTCCGGTTGTGTTGTCCACGCATTAGGCTTAAAAATTCACCACACTTGAGGGGGTGTGTTGAGAATGAATCTCACATTGATGAGAAAATGTACCTTATAAGTAAGTTGAGCTACTCTCCACATTGCCAATTGATTTATAGTGGAATCTCAACTTTCTTCAGCATCTCTCATATAATACACACACACACACACACACACACACACACACACACACACACACACACACAATAAAAAAACTAAATTATTATTTTTGAATTTAAAAGCAAAATCGGCTTAAATCATTTAGAGGAAATTGTAGTATGGTCCCTCAATTTTAACCCAATTGGAGTAATAGTCCCTCAACTAAAAATCTATCACCATTGATTTTTTAACTCGTCAAAATGTGCAGGTATGGTCATTTTTGTTAATTCCGTTAGAATTTCCGTCAAAATGAGTTACGTGCCACACAAGTGAGGCTGAATCAAGGGGTAAATATGAAAAACCAAATGAGAAAAATTGAACCAAATTGTAGCAATTGTCCTTCCAACATGGCTTATTTTGATGGAATTCTAACGAACCTGACGAAAATGACCATAGCTGCACATTTTGATGAGTTAAGGGACCAATAATCATAGATTTTTAGTTGATGAACCATTGCTCAAATTGAGTTAAAATTGAGAAACTATTATTACAATTTTCTTAATTATTTATAAGTATCTGATATATTCAATAAAGTAATACCAACCACCAAATTTATATAAAAAATAGCCTTCAGCATAATATTAAAATCACTTATTTCATAATCAATACAGATCAAAGCATAACACAAAATCGAAGAGCACAAAAGTTATTGTGCACGTCAAACCAAGACGCGACATAAACATCACACACAAGTATCATCGTCCACATTTGAATAGAATACGTAGCTCAACTTATAAGCCTAACTAGAACAACACACGGAAAAAGGCACGTCAAATGACATACAGAAAATGAGGTAAGGTGCCACTTACACAAAAATCGAGGCATGCCACATTATTCATCTTGGAAACCTAGACTTGTCCACATTTTTATTGTTTGACAACTTAGCTTAACCCAGAGATTTTATAAGTATCTAATAATAGTTTCTAACAATTACATTACTTAAGTCTCTGCTGAAAAACTCTCGTGTAACTCGTAATATGTGACATCACATGACAAATATTTATCAGATAATTATGTAAGTTTGAATACGTGGTGGTAAATACATAGTGGAAGTATACATTAGTTGCAAAAGGACCACCTCTCTTCTAACACGTAATAGTGTAGTCTGTAATTGCGTTCTCCCTCAGTCTTGCTTGTCGATCTCACACTGTCACTTGCTCAGTTGCTTTCCTTTACTTCCTCAAGTAACGGTCACTTTTCCTCTGCATCCCCGTTCGGCCTCCCATCTTCCACAATTAATATATTAGCTTACCAAAACAAACGGCTATAATATTATTCCCCTCCTCAGCTCCTCTCTCGATTTCTCCGTCTCTCTCAAACCCAGAAGCAAACGCCAATTTCATTACCTCTCTCTCTCTCTCTCTCTCTCAAAATGCACAAAAACATCGCTTTCTCTATCATCCTCTCACTCGCCCTCTTCTGCCTTTTGATCCTGCCTTCCACGGCCAAGGACGGCGTGGTTACGACCGAGCTGTGGTGCGTGGCCAAGAACAACGCGGAGGACGCCCCCCTGCTGACGGCGCTGAACTGGGTGTGCGGGCCTGGTGGGGCCGACTGCAGCCCAATCCAGCAAGGTGGGCCCTGCTACGACCCCGCCGACATCCAGAACACTGCCTCCTACGCTTTCAACGACTACTTTCTGAAACACGGCATGACCGACGATAGTTGCAACTTTGATAACACTGCCGCACTCACTTCTCTGAATCCCAGTAGGTTCTAATATTATTTACACTTTTTTTTTTCTTTGGGAAAAAAATTTAATTGGACATTAAAAGTTAAATCATAGATGGGTTCCTGCTCGATTTAGATGCTGAAAATCAATTTTTCTGATTCATTGCGATCTTCACTTAACTGTATTTTTTCTTTCCTATCCAGGTCATGATAAGTGCAAATTCCCATCCAGGTAACTCCTTCAACTTGTTACATTTGCATGGTTAGATTTCTGTTTCTTAATTGTTTTTTCAATTAGAATTTTGATAGCTGCGTTTGGCCGGAGAATTAAATAAGGATACTTTAACGAAAAGCTCTCGAACTCTTTATTTTAAAGAAAAATTATATTTTTATATTAAAAAATTAATCTTGGTATTTACCCTTATTGTTAAAATTTAAAAATTTTAAACTATTTTTATTAATTTTTCTTAAATAAATAATGTAATAGTAGTGAGATAGACGCAGTCAAAGTCGCATCACCGTTTGTGCATGGTGAGCAACTTGGATGAACTGGATACATCTTTACGGTGACACTATGGTGTAATAATATAATGTCATGTATTAATTTTATTCTAAGTGGCATTATGCTATTCAAACGGGTCGTCACTATCACAATGTAACCATTTAATACAAGTCATTCTCCTTTGCAAGACACAAACGAAGTGACCTCTGCATGGGCTTCACCAAATGGGCCCATGTAGGACCCAAATATAACCGGTCATTTGTTTTTTATTGAAGATGATAAAGTGATTGTTCAACCTTATTGAAGTTTTTCTCCAAAACTTGGTACGACATTATTAGTGATCTAGATTTGTAATGATATAATAAGGTATAGTGTTTTATGATGCAACAGCTTATCAGCGAGCAATGCAAGCATCTCCAGTCCATCAACAGCATATGGAAATGGAATGGGACCTAGTGAAAATTTGAACGGCAGCAATAAGATTTCTGAGCAATGGATTTGGCCCCTCGTTACCAGTTTTCTGGTCATTGCATATAATACATGGGCAATGGGTTAGCGAGCAAGCGAGCACTTGCTCGCGTTTTCCCTGGAATATTTTTGTTAACGATCTAGCCTAGGACAAGGTTAAGTCTGTATGGAGTGGCTAAATTGCTCTCGATTTTGTTATCTGTACGAAGCTCAAGCTTTGTAATCAGTGGCGAAGCCAGGATTTCTCGGGGGGAGGGGCGAGGTTAAAGAAAAATGGCAACAACTAAATCTTTTTATATAGTAATGTCTTTCATAATTAATCAATACAAACAAATTACAATTGTTGCCGGCGAGGTTTCATGTCATGAAAACGTCGCATAATAGGCTCATTATCAATAAAAGAAAATACATCTCTCTCAATGTAAACAATCATATGCAACTCAACCATTGATCTCCCATTTTATTACACAATGGTGTTTTCACATCTCTTTCAATGTAAACAACCATGCTATCACTCTTAATCCTAGAGTAGACTATACTATAGTATGCATAATAACTAATTCAACCAACAATTCAATTAATCAATACCAATAAGCATACAAATTATTCGATAAATAAACATTCAATTCAACTAATCATATGAATAATTGTATACATAATACATTATGTAATACTAATAATTCAATTAATTAATCAATAATGGAGAATTCAAATTTTAATTTTTACCCTAAAAAATAATTTCATAATTTCATATCAATAATCAATAACCAATAACCATATTAGTGCATTGAGTGCTTTACTATATGATTCTATTCTATACCAATTAAACAAAATTCATGTTAAATAATTAATTAGGGTTAGGGATTATAAATTTGGGAATTAAAAATTTTACCTAAATAGTGGGTTTGATAGTTGGAATCTGGGCCCTGGCACTGCTGCTGCTGAGTGCTGAATGCTGATTGGTTTGTTGCCAAACGGATAGGCAGCGCTGTTCCGTGTGCTGTTCCGTTTTCTGCCTTTGATGCAAAGCAAAGCAGCAAACGAGAAAGGGCAGGGAAAACGACAGCACGAGAGAGAGATGAAGTGATATAATGAATGGGGGACTCGCGGTCCCCCCATATAACTTTTTTTTTCTTCCAACTTATCAAAACGGGCCGTTTCATTTTTTCTTTTTTTTTTTTAAATTTTTTTTTTACCCAAACGACGTCGTTTGGCGTGGTTGTGTTGAAAAAAAAAAAGCAATCAGTTTAGTCAGCTCTGCAAGTGCAGAGCAGAACACCGGAGAGGAGAGTCGGAGACAAAGAGCAGTGGCAGGGGAGGGGCAAAACCAGCGCTCTAGGCTTGTTTTTCCGGCTAGGGGAGTGGTGGACGCCACTCCTCGCCCTCACGTGGCTTCGCCACTGTTTGTAATTAGGGTTTACAAAATTAAGCAGATCAATATTTATGTTCGTTGCAACCGATTTGAGTGTTGTTGCACATTTTAGGTCTTCAGCAATATTCACCAAAAATAAATAAAAAATGAATTTCAGCTTTTGAGAAATTCTAGCCATTTTAATCTGTACAAGTGATAGATTGTCCTGTTTTATTGAATAGTTTTGTTCAATTCATTGTTTTTCGTGTTCAAACTCTCTTCACACAAGACATTAGTTTAAACTTTAGATTAAAATAACGCTTGTAAAAAAATATAAACATTTGAGTACAAAATCGAAAATCCCCAAAAGTAAAGAACTTTTTTTTTCTTGTTAAACATAAAGAACTAATTTTTTTCGTTTGCTTTCTCTTTTGAGTACAAAAGAAAACGAGCAGTGGACCCTGCAACTGCGAGTAATCCATTTCACATTGGTATTTGGAGTAATAAATAAAAATTAATGTTAAAAAATTAAATTTATAAATAAATTGTAGTAAACTAAATAACATAAAATTTGATGATTGAATTATTAATTAAGTATTAATAAATATTCTTAATTTATATTGTGATACATTATTTAGTTTATAAATATAATTCCTTTAACATTGTTCATAAACAAATAAAGCCCTTCCGACATTTTTCAACTTTTGTATGAATTATGGGAGAGATAAATTGCATGTATTCCAAAAAATACAGCTGTAGGTTACTAGATTCTGCAGTGTTTTCGAACCTTGGTACTCTCAACTCTTCCTGACAACCAAGGTCTAAAATATTGATGATATCGAAAATATCGATAGTTCAAAAACACGGAAATTTCGATGGAAATATCGGGATATTATCGATATCGATAAAAATTGAATAAAAACCACGAAAATTATAAGAAAAACTTGGAAATTTTTATTGAAACTTTGCAGGATGTTTATTTAGTCAATTATCCATTAGTTTATCACAAAAAATTGGAAGGAAATGCATTGCATGATGAATTTAATTGATTTAAGTTGATTATATAGCAAGCTGGCAAACATTGTGCGTGTAGAACATATGTAGTAATTAATGAAAGAAGTTTAAACACATCATAATCATTTATATATAATGAATTAGTACAATATTTTATACTTTATACATTGCATGGTAAGATACATGAGTGACTTAGTACCACATATAGTTCCCATCAAGGTCTAAAATATCTATAATATCAGAAATATCGGTAGTCCAAAAATACAAAAATTTTGATGAAAATATCAGGATAATAACGATATTTTAGACCTTACTGACAACTCAAGCAAATTATTCACTTTTGGTCTGCTTTTTGGTATACTTATCATTATATCGTTTTTATTAGTTTTCTAATAAAGTTAAGACACTCTAACACATGTGAATATCTTTTTATTAAAAAATAGTATAAATAAATAGTAAAAATAACCTTTTAATATAGTTAGGATCAGAATACTCAGTTTACTATCCTAAAATTTATTGGTTTTCAACGTACATGAAGTTTTTTTTTTATTTTTTATCCTTTAGTGGTACCTGAAGTTATTATTTTGATACACTTTCATACATGCTTTAAAGTTACTGTTAAATCAACTGTTAACTGATGACGTGACATCCACGTGATCAATGACTGGACGTCACGTCGATATTAAAAATTTTAAAAAAAAAATTTGGGCCTCTCTTACCTCAACCCCGGCTCCCACCCAACCTTCCGTCCGTCCATTCTCTCCTTTGCACCCACCCAACCTTCTATCCCATCGTTGCCGGCGTCACCTCCTGCCGGCAGCGGCAACCCGATTACCTCCAAAGCTTCCCCAGAAAGCTATGTTTTGCTGCTTTGGCGCCCCTAAAACGCTTCTAAAAATACTAATTCCCTCTCCTTCTTCTCACTCCTCTCTGCTCGTCTCTTGCTTCTCCTTCTGTGTCTTTCCGTCAGTCGACACCTTCATGGTTAGAACTATAATCAGCGAAGCCATGGAGTAACAGAGCAATCAGAAGACTGCCTATCAACAAAATGAACTCCAAGAAATGCACTATGGTCCTGTCCTTGTCGAACAACTTTAGGTAAACCAATTTCAAATTCACACTCGTTTCGAGCAATTGAACGGCTTCCACATGTGGGTTCTTCTTCAATCTACTTCCGATGGGGTTTTGGTGCTCATATTCGAAATTTAAGAAATGGGTTATCATTTTCTTTGAAATTGGGTTTGAATTTTTGTGAATTGTTGTTCAAGATTGTATATTTTATATGGGTTTTTCGTAATTACCATGAATTATCCGTCTTGGGTATTGTTATTAATTACCCACTATGATATGAGACATCCTAGCCAACAAAGTTTTTATTTCCAATTTCATATGGTTTTTTTTTTTGAGGTAATCAGGTTTTCTGGGTGCCAAAGCAGCAACACAGAGCTTGTTGGGGAAGCTTTGGAGGTAATTGGGTTGCCGGGGCCGGCAGGAGGTGACGCCGGTGGCGGCCGTGATGAGAGAAGGGAGGGAGGGTTGGGTGGGGTGGGCACGGAGGAGAGAAGAGATGGAGGGTTGGATGGGAGCGGGGGTTGAGGTATGAGAGGCCCATATTTTTGTTTTCAAATTTTTTAATATCTACGTGGTGCCCAATCATTGTCTACATAGATGCCACGTCACCAGTTAACAACTGATTTAATAGAAACTTTAACAGATGTCACATCCCGGCCCGGGTCCACCACATCCCGAGCCCGCTTTACCACCGTAGCACGATATTGTCCGCTTTGGACTTACCATTCCCTCACGGTTTTGTTTTTGGGAAGCCGCTTCGGACTTACCATTCCCTCACGGTTTTGTTTTTGGGAACTCACGAGCAACTTCCCAGTGGGTCACCCATCCTGGGAATGCTCTGGCCTCCTTCTCGCTTAACTTCGGAGTTCCGACGGAACTCGAAGCCAGTGAGCTCCCAAAAGGCCTCGTGCTAGGTAGGGATGAGAATATACATTTAAGGATCACTCCCCTGGGCGATGTGAGATGTTACAATCCACCCCCCTTAGGGGCCCGACGTCCTCGTCGGCACACTTCCGGCCAGGGATTGGCTCTGATACCATTTATCACATCCCGGCCTGGGTTCACCACATCCCAGGCCCGTTCTACCATCGTAGCATGATATTGTCCGCTTTTGGCTTACCATTCCCTCACGGTTTTATTTTTGGGAACTCACAAGCAACTTCCCAGTGGGTCACCCATCCTAGGAGTGCTCTGGCCTCCTTCTTGCTTAACTTTGGAGTTCCGAAGGAAACCCAAAGCCAGTGAGCTCCTAAAAGGCCTCGTGCTAGGTAGGGATGATAATATACATTTAAGGATCACTCCCCTGGGCGATGTGAGATGTTACAACAGATGTATGAAAGTGTCCTAAAATTATGACTTCAGGTACCACTCAGGGATGAAAAAAACTTCATCTATCAAATATAGAAAATCAAGAAACTTAAGAGTAATAAATTAAGGCTTATTATATTAGCACCCCACAAATTGTTGAATAAACTCCACGTACTTAATACACTCCACATTTACTTTTTCAATTAAAAATTATCTTAATACACCACACTTCCTTCCCATAATACCCTCACACCCCACGTTCCTAGTATACATCTTACATTTTCTACACACACCCCACAATTTTTATACATCTTACATTTCTCAAATCTTATAATACTCATTTTTAATTTTGTCGAATGATTTCAAACTATATGAAATTGAATGATTTAAAAAAATGTTTAGACTCATTTGAACGTTTTTCAATAACAATAATAATGATTTCAAAACTTTCGAAACATCGATCTCGTGTTCCATTCGTCAAAAATAATTTTTCTCAATCAAC